CTTCTCAAACTTCTTTTAGTAATGTACCCCCTTTGAAACATTTTCTCAGCCAAGTACCCCCTGACCAACCCCGAACATTTTTGCCTATATAAATAATTACAATATAGTGATATTCCATCAGTGTGTAATTTATTAACTCCTTCATGCATTGTACAAACAGAGAATAACCAGTTAAGCACCAGAAAAGCACAAGAATGGATCTTGAACCCTTTTATTTACAACTGTGTTTTCTATTTAACTTATTGTAGTATAATTATTTTTGTAATCATGCATGGTATTTCTTTTATTAACTTTTTTTTTTTTTGTATCTCACGTACCCCCTGCAGTACCCCAACGTACCCCTAGGCGTCCGTGTACCCCCATTTGAGAATCACTGCACTACAGCATGGGAGTTAGTGGTGGTTTATTCTAAAATATCAAACGGTAACATTTTCTCTTGACTGCAATTATATCGCAACTTTCAACGCAATTTTTCCCTCGCCAATATCCATTACACTCCTGCTTGCACTCGCCATAGCATTCAAGGCTTCTGGTATTGGGATGTGTTGTCATTTTGCCAGTTTTTTCATGTAATAAATGGTCGAACAGAAGAATAGGAGCGCTTTTGTTTGAGCTCGTCAAAGTGATTCCCGTATTCAGCCACTCACAACTTGTTTTTAGTGCCTACAGACGCAATAAGAGCTTTTCTGAAATATAGTACACTTAGTACACTATCACGTAAAGCTAGGGTAGTTATTAATTGAGAAACCAGCAAGAGTAGACATAGATTATTTAAATGATCCAACGCCGCCTAAGTTTGCTAACACTGTTCCAACGAAAGTATCTTGCAAAACTCGCTCCAAAAATGTCCGAGCCCTTCGACAGCCGCAGATATCGGATATTTCTCCTGTTTTTGCAGAGCATGGGAATTGCCTTCAGGGAGTTTTTCAACATTTTGAACACCCTACCCACCACTGCTTTAAAAATGTATGACAATAAGAGAAGTGTGTTTGGCGATGACAGCAATTCAGCAGTTTTTGTGCCTCTGTGCTTTGGACATATCGAGGTCAGCATTCACAAGTATTTAGGTTTGATACCCGGCCGAAGCTCAGACCAATAACAGGGTTACCATGCATCCTTAACAAGGCTTAAAAGGCATAACATGTATAATACTAATAAATAATAAGGCCTTAAATCACACATGTCAAACTCAAGGCCCGGTGGCCAAATCCGGCCCTTGGTGGATTTAATTTCGGCCCGCAGGATAATTTCGAATTCCTATTAGATCTGGCCCGCCGGTATATTGCACGCACACCTTCACTCCATCCTGAGGGTCTCCTCAGCTCAGAGCCTGAGCCCAAACATTGATGAGCTTGCACCCAAGATGAGATGCCAAGTATCTGAGCTAGCATCACAGAGCAGCACACTGAGTTTAATGGATGTTTCCTTCTGCACTTTCTCTCTCACGACAACAGGGCATGTTTGGTTTGTTCTTTGAGGGAAATAGTTTTGTTGAAGCTGTTGTTGGCCTGTGGAAAAATGTACTCATAAGAAATGACTCAGCTGCAGATAGAGCCATAAGAAATGAATGCAGCTGATTATTTAATGTTGTTTTTATAGGCAATCATTGAAGCTTTGTTAGTTCCAGGTTTAATATGTGCAATAAGTTCATTTCAATAAGTTCTGCAATAAACATTGAACCAGTCCGGTCCTCCACTAGTACCCATTTTTTTTATTTTGGCCCACTGTGTATTTGAGTTTGACCCCCCTGCCTTAAATGGTATCAAAATGTCATAAATCAATGTTTTTATAGTATTAAAATGCTATGACATGGGGATTTTACGTTTTTCCCCTGACATTCATTAACATCCCATAAAATTGGTAATTGCTATCTATTTCTTTAAAATTATTTAGTTGATGTCTGTCTCATTTTCGTCAAACATTTTTTTAACTTAAATGTAGCTTTACATTTTACTCGGAGTAACCTTAATAAAGTTTGAATAATACTTTGGGGAATCTCTATATACTTCTCTATTTTTACTTCTATTCTTATTTTTGTTTTCTATGCCAAACAATCATGGGAGGAATACATCTATCTCGTAAAGTCTTTGCTAAACACTGTGAGCAAAACTCCCAGCATGCATTTCACCAGTCACTGCAAACAACTCAGATGTATGCACTGATCTACAGCTGCAATGGTTTGAAGTGGAATTAGGATGTTTTTGCGTCTTCTGTTTTCCATCGACGTCATGATGGATCCAGCTGCTCTCATACCTCATTCACACCAACGGTGTTTCAGGGCTGGTTCGGAGCTGGAGCTTGAAAAGCACCGGATTTTCCTGTTCACACCGCAGCGGAGCAGCCTCTTAGCTCCGGAATCTGGTTCGTTTCAAGCACCAAAAAATTGTCCGGCCAGAGTAAAAGCACCGCATACGTCACGCTTACGTCGAGGCGGGGGCAGGGGCGGGATCAACTCCTGAACAACAACAAGAAGCCCGCGTTTTATCTAGCTTGTACACAACGATGGAGAAACTTAACAAGCAGCAGTGGCCCACTGAAGAGACCAGCTACCTACTGGGAATCTGGTCTTCCGAAGAGGTACAGAGGAAGCTGGAGCACAATCGGCCATTGTTGTTGTTGTCGGTGTCAGCTGTGAGGAGTTTCCGCGCGGTTTGGCTTCATGAAGCAGGCACGCAACCGATGACGCAGCACCAGTCGGACTCTGAGCGGTGTGAAAAGAGCCGGAGCTAAACCGAAGAACCGGTTCTGAACCTGAAAAGCTCTAGCACGGAGGTTGAACCGGAGTTGCGTTGATGTGAATGAGGTATCAGAGAGGCTGGAGCTTTTATTCCTCTTGTATTCCCGCCAACACGTGTGAAGACTGAACAGGCATTAAAACACATTTTGCACCTGCTTGGCAGAACCATTGTTCACAACATTAATCAGATTTGTCAAATAAGGCGAAGGTAGCGCCACCATTAACCTCTGCTCACAGCAGGGACTGAATGGACCTCTGGTGATTTATTACTTACGTTCTTTGCTTTGTGAACTCATGAAAAGTGCAGACACTGAGGTGGAGAGGTCAAGTATAAAGAAGTAAGAATACGGAGTACAGCGAAGATTTCTCTCTACGGTAACAAAGAATCGTAGCAAGAGTGACAAGTTTGGAAAGCCTCATAACAGACTCTACTTAACGCTGTGAAAAGAGATACATATCCATCTTAGTTTGTTCCTGCTAAAGTGTGTTTCTTATCCTCCTGGCAGGACAGTTCTTTGGTAATCGTCCTCAGCATGTAATACTAGAAGAAATAGGTAAAATAACGGATGATTTAATTTGTTTTCCCAAAGTCATGGAAATGTAACTAAAGTTGCATCAAATATAATTTATATTTTAGCTTTGATTTGTTTTAGATAGGCTCAACATGTTTCAGATGCAGACCTTATTTTCCTGTTCCATGTTCAAATAAACCATTTTCAGTTGTACCGCTGAGAAAGTCATTTTTTTGGTCATGGAAAATTAGGTAGAGGTCATGGAGAGGTCATGGAGAAGCATTGGTGAAAACGTGTATGAACCCTGATGTGTAAATACTGTAATAATCCTGAACACTTATCGAATGGAACTTATATTTAACAGACATTATTAACCTCGGGAGCACGAGTCGGAGAATCAATAACTTTAGCGAAAGATCCAGAACCTTGACGCAATAAAAAAGATACCTGCTTTGAAGTAATCTTGGGTCTTTTAACTTGACATAACCCTCATATCTCTGTACAATAGAACATGTGTTGATTATTTAATTAAATTAATGTTCTCTTGATTACAACAGCTAATTATACAAAGCAAGAATGTAGTGGTGTACTTTATTCTTTGGTGGTAATGTATACAAAGTTGGGATATAGTTATTTACAGACATTGCATGTTAGACATCCGCTCTGCAGCCTCTGTAGAAGCTTTTCAAAAACAACTGAAGACCCATCTTTTTACATTGGCTTTTGTTTCTACTTGAGATGTGTGTGATGTGTGTGATGTGTGTGATGTGTGTGATGTGCTCTTATGTTTGTTCCTTTCAGGACTCCACGTGGTCTGTGTTCTGTTGTTCTGTTGACCTTAATGTCTGCCTCATGTTGTTCTTGTATTCATGTTTCTGTCGTCTTCATTTTTACTTCTGTTCTTTCTTGTGAAAGGAGCTATACTAAATAAATGTATTATTATATTAGACTTGTAACCAACACACACACACACACACACACACACACACACACACACACACACACACACACACACACACACACACACACACACACACACACACACACACACACACACACACACACACACACACACACACACACACACACACACACACAGAGAGAGAGAGAGCACACAACACAAGCAGCAGCCTGTTAAGATGTTTGGACAATTACTAAATCCAGCTGCTGCTTTTATGGTTTCTTATCGAGCTTTGCCACAGGCTCACTCTTTCCAAATGAATTTCATTCTACTCTGTGTGTGTGTGTGTGTGTGTGTGTGTGTGTGTGTGTGTGTGTGTGTGTGTGTGTGTGTGTGTGTGTGTGTGTGTGTGTGTGTGTGTGTGTGTGTGTGTGTGTGTGTGTGTGTGTGTGTGTGTATGTGTGGCCTAGCATTACTATCCTTGTGGGGACCTACATCTGTTTACATAGTCACGTGTGGGGACTCGCCTCCCTTATGGGGACAAATTGGAGGTCCTCATGAGGGGAGTCATTAATTTTAGGGTAAAGACTTGGTTAAGGGTTAGGGTTAGGGTTAGGCATGTGTTGGTTATGGTTAAGGTTAGGATAAGTCTCCAGGAAATGCATGTAAGTCAATGTAATGTCCCCTGAAGTGATGTATACATGGTGTGTGCGTGTCTCTCTCTGGATGTGTGTGTGTGTCTCTCTCTGGATGTGTGTGTGTGTCTCTCTCTGGATGTGTGTGTGTGTCTCTCCGGATGTATGTGTGTTAATAGTTTATTACAGCGGATGGCGGGAGTGAGTAATGAATTGTTTCTCGCAGCCTAGATAAACTGCTGGATTCGGGCTTGTTCACCGGAGAGATAACGGAGCTGTCAGGAGGCCCGGGGAGCGGGAAATCTCAGGTGAACATTTCCTACCTTCCTCTTCCTCTTCATCGCTGCGTTTCAGCCTCATGATTTTCCTCTTTGAGTATTCCCTCGTCTCCAGTCCTGCAATAAAACACCATAAACAATAGTTATGGTTTAGCTAACACACATTATCCATGCTTTATTTAACTGTCCCCCGAACATCAGGCATGTCTCCGAGGCAGTGGAGGAATCTAACTTTGCATATTTACTCACGTACTGAGGTACTTGTACTTCATTTGAGTATTTTCTGATTAGCGAGTTCATTCTGTAGGCCAGTGCTGTTCTCGTTTTCTCTACTAGATATACTTTTCAGGTTTAGTTACTTGCTACTTTGGAGATTAAAGTTATTAGCACAAAATAGAAAATCAAGTAATGTTTTTATTACAATATTTCGTTATAGGTTAAACTACAAAGCAATATATAAAGTCATTAAAATCAAATAAATCCCACCTTTACCAAATGCAACATTGAAGAGATGAACATATTATTGCATATAATACTATAATTGTGATATAATATTATTCTGAAATGGGCCATACATGATCATCTCTACTTTTGCCTTTGGTACTTTAAATATATTTAATGCCAATACATTTGTAGTTTTACTTAAGTAACATTTTGAAAACACAACCTAATAAAGTAACCTGTAACAGAGTATTTCAACACTGTCTTATTTCTATTTAAAAACAGTATTTTTTACAACAAGAGCAAACCAGTCCTATTACTGTATATATGTGAAAGATAGCATTTTACTGATTAAGATCCACCAGTTTCCCAAAGAGCTTTTCTGTTGTCTCGACACATGAGAACAGTTTTAACTGCACGAGTGTAACATGTAACTGAGTATTTCTGTACCTTAGTATTTCCATTCATACCAAATGTCCCCCTCCAGGTGTGTTTCGGCGTGGCGGTGCACGTCTCCCTGCACCTGAAACAGAGTGTGATCTTCATCGATACGACAGGAGGACTCACCGCCAGCCGCCTGCTCCAGATGATGCAGACAGAGAGCAGTAACACAGAGGAGCAGGTGAGGGGACAGCATGGAGTTTCACACTAATACTACATGATGTGAGATAACAACACAACGTGGATCTGTCACTTCACAGACGGAGGCTCTTCAGAGGATCCATGTCTTCCGCCTGTTCAACGTCTTCTCTCTCCTCGACTGTCTGTTCGCTCTGCGCAGTGGAAGGCTGCAGCAGGTTGGTACTTTTACTGCTTCAAATACACCAAGAATCCTGTTGGGAAAATCCTGAATGTCCTCTTCCAACATGAGAGTAACATGATAACAAAGGTATCCCAACTGTAGCTGTGAACATGACAGGATGTGTGATTACCTAGAAGAGCATCAGGACTGTTTGAGGCATATGATAGCTATGTGATTAACATGATGATTCAGCCTCTATGGAGAGAGACATCAAGCATGCTCATTTCTGACGTGGAGCTAATCTGAAGTAAACATTGAATACTGCTTTCTATTCCTCCATCTTGTGACTGTGGAACTCCCTCTCTTGGATATCAGCATGTGAAGGACACTGTTCAGGAACTAGCTGATGCTCTGTATGTGATGACTCCTTCCATTCTGGAGAGGATCACAGATACATGGATCCTGAGATTGAAGCTCAAGCCGGAGACGAGAGATACTTTTCTCACAGGAACCTTCGAGACGACGCCTTGCATTTCCAGCTCATCTAATTTTGTCCCATGTTTCTTCCACCAGGCGTGTGCTGCCTCTGTGAAGGCGGTGATCGTGGACTCGGTGTCGGCGGTTATCTCTCCTCTGCTGGGAGGAAAGCAGAACGAAGGTGATATCTCTCTCTGAAGTCCATCAAACCTGAGGCTGTGTTTACACTCACACCTGCATATATCTCTAAACAAGCTTCATATACATTTGGCAAACATGAAACACTAGAGTTTCTGTCGTGAGAAAGTGGGAAAATAACAAAACTTTTTTACCGTCACAAAGAATTGTTGAATAATAAACATCATTTTGAGCTTCTTATATTTGTTATAGTTATTTCCTGTTGATAAGAGCTGCACAATTTGTTAGCAGTTAATGCACTATATCTTTTATTTTACTTTAAGTGTTATTTTCAGTGTTTAAATTAGGGCCGGGACTCGATTAAAAAAATTAATCTAATTAATTAGAGGCTTTGTAATTAATTAATCGAAATTAATCGCATTTTTAATCACATATAAATATTTGACCTAAGAACAGTGAGAAGCAATTTTTTTTCACATGGATTTTAGTATACCATTAGGCGCATTCACACCGCAGTACTTTTCCCACAAAGGTTCATGAGAACTTAGTTCATGAGAACTCTTTGAACCTGGGGGTGGATTAGGCAAATGAAGCCGCTGACGTCACTTCTTCTTCTTCTGCTTTGGGTTTACTGGCAGGCCGCAAACCACTTCACGGCGTATACTGCCGCCCAAAGTCCCCGGCCGGAAGTCCCCGGAGTTAGGGACTGGCTTCAGTAGAAGCTGCTGGGACTCCCAGCAGCTTCTACTGAAGCCTTCCGAGTAAATCGCCAGAACGCCGACACCTCCTAATCTCCACCGCTCCCTTGTTTTATTTTGTGTTGCCATAAGTTAGTCTCTCTGCGTTTCTGCGCTGGGCTAATGCTAATAATACTAATGCTAATAATGCTAATGCGAGGATAATAAAATGGCGGCTTCACAAAACTTTTTGGGAGTTTTACGGGGCGTGGTTTGCAATCCGCCCAGCCAATCAGACATATAGCTCTTTTCTCACAAGAGAGCCGTACGAAAGTCCCTGCTCTCTAGCAGCTCTCTGCTCTCTAGCAGGGACTTTCGTGGGGGTAAAAAGGTTCTCATGAACTAATTTTAGTACCGGCTCTTTTTGGTGTGAACGCGATAAAAGAGGCTAACGTCCACGCTAGCTTCCACGCTAGCTGCTATATGTTTTGCATTGAGGTGATACTTGAGGCTTGATGTGCTGCGGTGATATGCGAATTCCTTTTTGCATAATTTGCACACAACCGTGCTCTTATCGACGCTTCCATCCGTCCGTTTTTTAAAACAACATTTTCCACTGTTGTTCACTGTGGTTTGTTGTTGTCTGAAGTCATGAACGTTAGTTGGTGCTCCAGTATAATCGGTACGCCTGAAACTCATCCAGTGAGAAACATTCCGCGGTGCAAAAATAAGTGCGATTAAAATGCCTTAATTTTTTTAACGCGTTAATTTTTGTGTAATTAATTAATCTTAATTAACGCGTTAAAGTCCCGGCCCTAGTTTAAATATAGCTGGGCTCTTAAAAAGGACATATTTTGCTCATATCAGTTTGTAGTGTCTCTACTGGGACATGTCTCCATGCTTTAATGTTCAAAAAGCTCTTTATTTGTCAATGTGTTGGAGCCATAGCCAATAGGAGCGTGAGGGTTACATAGTGATGTCACTTAGTAATCACCGGGATTTTAGCCTTTGCAGACCGTTTACATCAGGGATGGGCCGGCCCCCACCTCCTCTTTTTGCGGCCCTCACATTAATTTATAAACAACGTAATTAATAAAATAATATAAAATAATTATTTTTTTACTTGATACCGTCCACTAGAGTCCTAGTTACGTTGCGAGCTGCGTACATGACTTCGTTCGGCAGCCAAATACCGCAAAATAATCTGTAGCGCGTTTGTGTGTATTGTGTTTGTTTCCCGGGGAACACTCACAAGAAACCCCGGCGGTTGTTACGCCTGCTGTGACGTCAAGTTGCCGCTTGTAATTATGCCGAAGCTTCAAAGTTGTTTTTATCATCAGAATTTGGCAAAACAAGTTTAATATTCTAAAAGCCAAGACTTTGTTTATTTGAAATCAGATGAAAACAAACTGTCACGGACCCTGCCGTGTTATCTATGATTACTATACTCTTTTCATTCATAATTTCAGCGGAGGGAGGGGGGGCGGCGCTGAGGAACAGCAGAGAGTTGACAGGTGTCTGTGTTGACATTCCCCTTATTGTGCGTCCAGTGTGTCCCACAGAATTTGATTCTATTTGTGGGGGCACCGCACCCCCCCCCCCCCCCCCCCCGGCAAGAAAAGCCAAAGAGGCCCCTTAACCAACTCGGGTTATCAAATAAGATAATACATGCGAGTTCATGGCTACTGTAGACAACGTTCTTGTTGCTCTGTGTTGCGTTGTTAATGAGAGACACACCGGAGTTGAGGATCTGTGGGGTTTATTCTCCCAAAAATATAATTTACAATGTAGGCATTTAGCAGACGCCTTATTCCAAAGCGACTTACAATGACCAATTACAGGGACATTCTCCCTGGAGTAACCGAGGGCTAAGTGCCTTACTCAAGGGCACACTAGTAGTGGTGTTCCAGGCAGGATTTGAACTCGCAACCTTCCGATCATTAGACCACAAAAAAAAAAAAAAATAGAAATCATAATTTTATTTTTGTTATGAGATCCATTTGTGGCGGACGATATTTAATTGTGGCGGCCCGCCACAAATAAATCAATGTATGGGAAACACTGGCGTCAGCAGAGACTCCAAGTGTTTTAGGTTCAAGTTCGATAACGAATGTCTGGGTTAGTGTTCATGACTTCATGTTTATGTCATCTTAATGGTTCATCTCAATGCACACACACTTTCCGTGCTTTCCAATAGTTTAAAATAGTTGTATTCCACTGTTAAATAACTTGTTCAATACAAACATGCCATTTGAAAAAATTAAATAACATTTCTGTGAACTGATATTTGTTTAGCGAGCTTATTAGAGGATGTTGAAAGATTGAAAAATGTCAATGAAGATGTCAGACTTAGTATATGTGTTAATAATTACATACAATACATGGAATATGTGTGTGTGTGTGTTCCAAGTGAATCTGCGGCCCCCTGGTGGCCAGTACATAAATGATGTGCCCCCCACCACCATCCAAGTTGCCCATCCCTGATTTACATGCACTAAAACCTATAGAACGCACTATAGGAAAGGGAAAACCCCCCAAAAGCCTAGCAGAGCCTCTTTTCAAGGCAAGGCAAGGCAAGTTTATTTATATAGCACTTTTCAACACAAGGCAATTCAATTTAATAAATCTTCACAGCTGAAAAGCAGTCTGAGTTCACCTGTGGAGTGAAAGCTCATCCGTCTGATATCAGTTATAAATAGATCCGTTTTATTAACCTTGGAGCTGCTTCCGCTGCAGTCTGACCTCCTGAGAGTCAACATAATTAAAGTTAATCCACATGAAGTTTACTCTACTTTATTCTGAACTTTTGGTTTTAAAGACAGATAAAAAACAACCACAGAGAGGAGAGGACCTGAAACGAACCTGTGTGTGTTATTTAAACGAGCTAATTCTTGAAGTATTCTGTTAGGAGCCACAGACAGGTTTAACAAACGCCACTGATCTGAAGACCAATGTATTCATGAATAAATTAACGTCTGAGCTCTGGGCGGATTGTTATAAGACCCATAAAGTCAATTTCCCTTGAAGCGCTTTTTCTTGTTCTTCACACCGGAGCAGACACAAACACAAAAAACGATTGAAAGGCTAAAATCACAGCTCATAGAACGTTTTAACAAAAGCACTTCAGGTAGATTAGGTTTGTAGCTGATGTGAAACAACTCAATCTGTTCAAACCTAGGAAGGAAATGTCTCATTGAGATATATTTTACATTACATTTCATGTTCGACGCTTTTATCCAAAGCGACTTACATTCTCAATACTGTGGGCAATTTGGGGTGAAGTGTCTCAGGGACATGCTGACTGCCGTGGGGTTTGAACCTGTGACCCCCTGATCCCAACACCAACGCACAACCCACACGCCTCCCTTTTAGCCCCATATTTTAATTATTATTATTATTATTTAACATTACATTTCTTTGAATAGTCAGATTTAGCATATTTTCATGTCATTAAGATTTTCTTCTGTAATTATTGCGCACATAATAACAATAAAGAAATTGAATATTTCCTCTCATCTGAGCGACACCCCGGAGCTCTGATTCAGTGTGTCTGTAATAAAAGAGTCAGTCACCCATAGACGTATTAGAGACTGTAAATGTCAGTAATATCTGCAGCCTGAGCTCCTTCTGTTAAACTGCTTAATAAAGTAGAGACACTGTATATTCTGCTCACTGTCTCGCTCCCTGCCTGCAGGCATGTCCTTGATGATACAAGTGGCCGGAGCTCTGAAGACGATGGCCAAGGACTTTAACGTCGCTGCGTTGGTGAGACTGTCCTTGATGTGCACTACTTTAAATGCACCGTGCATATCTGCTGTCAATCCTAACTCTCTGCAACCCTCTCACATCTTCCTCTGCTGAAACCTTTAAATCAGGGTCAAACAAAAGGTTCCTAAACTGTTTGACTGCAGGTGGTGATTATGTCAAATCTCTAATAACACTAATCGTGTTTAAAGAGCGTGAAGTAAAGAAAATGTTCCTTCACCTCCAATTATCAAGTTATTTAAAGTGAGGTGAAGATGATTTGATCGGCTGTTTGATGGCCCTCTGATTAGAAGTGGGACAATGTAGAGAGTTATATATTTATTTCCTTCTTCTATAGCTTGAACTTTCTCTCGCAATCAATTCTAAACCATAAAACAGAACACATGATGAGATAATCCGTCCTTTTAAACGGTGCTTAAACGTATTTTACGATACCTACTATAGCTTATGTAAAAACAAGACATAGGAGAAATGTCACAGAATCCAGTTCCCCCCCCCCCCCGGGATAAATAGATCAAATCAACATTTATTATATCCCCAAATCACAAGAAATGCCTCGAAGGGACAAAGCTATCAAAAGACAACAACAACAAGTGTTCTTGTGAAAGATTGAACGTAATGATGTCTGATCTGTCTGCAGGTGACGAACCATGTGACGCGCAGCGACAGTGGGGGGGTGCAGCCGGGTCTCGGGTGTCATGGAGTCACATCCCGAGAACCAGAGTCCTGCTGGAGAGGAGGGGGGAGGGGGGGGCCGGGCGGGCACTCCAGTCTGCGCTCTGCCACCCTGATCAAGTCCTCCAGACAGGTTGTGTGTGTGTGTGTGTGTGTGTGTGTGTGTGTGTGTGTGTGTGTGTGTGTGTGTGTGTGTGGTGTGTGTGTGTGTGTGTGTGTGTGTGTGTGTGTGTGTGTGTGTGTGTGTGTGTGTGTGTGTGTGTGTGTGTGTGTGTGTGTGTGTGTGTGTGTGTGTGTGTGTGTGTGTGTGTGTGTGTGTGTGTGTGTGTGTGTGTGTGTGTGTGTGTGTGTGTGTGTGTGTGTGTGTGTGTTACCCTTTACATTTTCCGACATACTTCTACCTACTTTTTCACAATATTCTTTGGACGTACTATTTTATAACTATTTTATAACTATTTTAGACATTAAACTGATATTTGATATTTTTCTACAAACTATAGACTTTTCTTCATAAACATTGTTATGACATGTATTATAATAATATGACCCTTCTATTTAAAATGTTATGATACACCATACTGGATTTATTTCAGTATATATATAACTATGCTAATTTGTACAATATCTGGATGTCGTTGTCCTTTCAGAGGACTTTTAATAGCTATTGATGATTTAAAAGCTGCTAGCGACATACTCTCTCCCCTCCTCAGAAATAACTGTCCACGAAGACATTAATTAAACATTTACAAAAGATGTCTGTCAGACGGTACAAAGAGGCGCTTTGATGCAGCACAGTCAGAACTCCAACATAACGTGTGTGTGTGTGTGTGTGTGTGTGTGTGTGTGTGTGTGTGTGTGTGTGTGTGTGTGTGTGTGTGTGTGTGTGTGTGTGTGTGTGTGTGTGTGTGTGTGTGTGTGGTGTGTGTGTGTGTGTGTGTGTGTGTGTGTGTGTGTGTGTGTGTGTGTGTGTGGCCTAGCATTACTATACTTGTGGGGACCTACATCTGTTTACATAGTCACGTGTGGGGACTCGCCTCCCTTATGGGGACAAATTGGAGGTCCCCATAAGGGGAATCATTCATTTTAGGGTGAAGACATGGTTAGGATTAGGATTAGGGTTAGGGTAAGGGTTAGGCATGTGTTGGTTATGGTTAAGGTTAGGATAAGTCTCCAGGAAATGCATGTAAGTCAATGTAATGTCCCCTGAAGTGATGTATACATGGGGTGTGTGTGTGTGTGTGTGTGTGTGTGTGTGTGTGTGTGTGTGTGTGTGTGTGTGTGTGTGTGTGTGTGTGTGTGTGTGTGTGTGTGTGTGTGTGTGTGTGTGTGTGTGTGTGTGTGTGTGTGTGTGTGTGTGTGTGTGTGTCAGTAGACTCACACTGTGACAGGGAAGATGATGTCGTGTGTGTGTGTGTGTGTGTGTGTGTGTGTGTGTGTGTGTGTGTGTGTGTGTGTGTGTGTGTGTGTGTGTGTGTGTGTGTTTTAAACTAATGCATGATCTGTGTGTGTCCTCAGCCCTGTCACATCAAGGCAGAGTTGGACCTGCAGTGGTGGAGCCGCTCTAAAGAGGGCTCGTCTGGAAAGAGAAAACTGGAGGAGACTGAGTCCTGATGAGAAATAATCTGACCAAAGGTACATGAAGGCTTCTGGATCTGCAAGGAGATGGATGGTTTCTTTTTGTTTACATATATTTGTATTGAAGACACAAAGAAAAGACATTTGGTACATTGATAGGAACCACAGTTACAAATGTTCAACAGTTCAAAGTGTTCAGCTTAGTCTCTACTATTGATCAAGCCATGCTGTACTTAGTTGATCTTCACTTGAAGGCGTTCAATATTTAAACCACATTTACAACCCAAACAGACCCTGTAAAGGAATTGGATCGTTGAATGTTCCATCGTTTTGCCTTTGATAACAGCACTATGCAAATATTGGACTGATTGATTCACATTATCACTGAGTGCTTCAATCCCTGCTTTGCTTCTTTCATCAGAATAATTAATAAAGCTTGCCGATATATACCATGACTTTTGAGATGCTCTTCCAGCTCTCAGCTGGGAGACCTTTCTTCTGTCCGTCACTGCAGACTCCTCAGAGCTTCAATACATTCAAACATGAATTTAATCCCCTTCATAGTAGCATGAAGGGGATGAAAATGGCACATATGAATTATACTTGAAAGCCTTTCAGATGTAAGGGTCCGCAGCTTCTCGTTGGATGGTATAGGGTCTCGTGAGTTAGTAAGAAAGTGAGAGGTTTATGGTTAAGAAGGAGAAACAACTTCTTATAGACCAGTGCTTCTCAAAGTGTGGTCCGTGAGCGCCCCCTAGTGCTCCGTGAGTATATTGGTAACATTTCACATTTGAAATAAATAAATACATTTCAGTTTTCCGCACTCTCGCGGGAATATCTCTCCGCAATGGAGCGAGCTTAAGTTTCTTTCGATTGCATGATATAGCCCAGGGCAACACCTTCGTCACACATGTTGCCACTTGTTTGTACCATTTTCAGGCGATTTGTAATCTGTCCTAGAAAAACGATGTGTTTTTGGATATTTTGTGGTCCGCGAGTGTATGAAAAAGTTTGAGAAACACTGCTATAGACAAAAGCTTTTCATATCAGGGTGTCTTTCAACATACCACACTACAACCAGGGTTGGGAGGGTTACTTTGTTAATGTAATTAGTTACTGAATACATGGCTCTGAAAGTCATCCGAATAGTTACAGTTACGTGTCTTAAGAATGTATTCAGATTACTTTTGGAATACTTTCTTTTCCCATAACAGATGGGTATGTTTCGATGAACAGGAGACACGTATTTTACTGTTTTAATGGCTTATCAAGAACTCAAACACAACATCTCGGTGTCATTCTGGACAGCTCCCTCTCACCTGCGCCCACATCAAGAACATCCCCCGGACTGCATTCTTTGTACTGTCTTAAAACCTTTCCTTGGAATATGTTATGAATTGTCAGGTGTCCTTGGTGCTTTGAAAGGCGCCCCTAAATAGGAATTATCATTATTAGTTATTATTATTATCTGAAACGATGTAATAACTTGTTCCAGTCACTTGCCCCATGCATTCAGCAGCAGCAGGCCATTCACTTTGATTAGATCCCGTTATGAATCTCATCTCGACAATAAAGAAATGCTATATAAACGTTATCTTGCACTTATCTAACCATCTCCGTTTCTAACTTTCAATATAGTTTAAAGATCGCTCTCTCTCTTTTATGGAGGACAGTTATGTCAGCAATGAATTAGCATTAAATTAGACGACGAGCAGTTTGGCACCTTGTACATGGGCGCTATATAAATGCAAATCCATTATCATCTATAATCCTTCCACTTCTCCTGCACAGTACAAACTGCTGCGAGCACAATTTACACAAAAGACAAAGCATGAAGTTACGAAGGAGACATTTCATTTTATTTATCAGCATTTTGTTTATTCCTTTCGGCAGACAAATCATTTTTTTTCTCAGTTCTTGAGCCGGGCTTTAATCGCTCGCAAAATGTTCCACTCAGGCGGTAAAAATAAAACCCCATATCTTTTCTGCTGCGTATTCATTTCCAGGCCTTTACCGATTGTTACAGGATGTTTGTGAAATGCATTTCATGTGTAGCTGCTTCAACGTCATTTATTTGTGTTCTTACAAAAACTACTTCTACAGGACTCTCTCTCACACACACTGTCGTCAGTAACCCTAACTACAACCATCTATCCCCAGTATTCAAAATGATAAAACTAAAAAGCCCAAACCTAATGTATTCTCTGCTTGGAAAGAATAAATAAAACGACCTGATGGCAGTGTGAGTAATTTAAGCACGATAATGAAGCCTTAGTGTCCACACCCTCTCTCTTAAAAAAACAGTTAACAGTGTAAAAACGTGTGTGTTGTGTATATTTCAACAGGCAGGGACGACACGCCTCTTGCGGATACACTCCCAGATCCAGCTGGGCGTCACTTTGTGAGCCGAGCTGTCGTCGTCGGGGGCGCCCAGCGTGTGCGTTGCCATGGAGACTTCGAAGTCGGCCACCAGGTCTCCGTCGTACGCCACGAAGTACCGCCTCAGTTTGTCGAAGTCCTGCACCGAGGAGGGCAGGAAGAGCTTCACGCCGCTGAAGATGTCCAGCAGCGTCTGAGGGACACACTCTGAAGTTATTATATCGTTGAAAAATCAAGCCACGTTTTGCTTAATGCATTTTACCTGATTGTACGATGTTGTTATTTATCAGTCGAGTGACTTCAAATACTTTTCTTTGAGCTTCGTAAATACAGCCTGGTATTCAGGGCACGTTAAATGAGACAGTTTGGGTTTCAATTGTTTAGCACTGTCATGATTCAGCCTTCGTGATTTTTTGAAAGCTTGTTTCTTGCTCTATTGGGCTTGTTTATAAATCATAAATCTCAACATGAATCAAAAGTTAATTGGAAAATCAAACACAGGTTTAACGGTGTAATTAGTAACCACAGTGAACTGAACACTTCCTGTAAAATAACGAATTATTAGCATATTAATAAAAAGAGTTTTACCTTTTAACTATTAGTTTATATGTTGCGACATTTTAAACATTTGAATGTTAATAGTTTTACATACAAAAGAAACATTTGAATGTGTTGAAAGTCACATGACCAACCTTATCGTTCCTGGGCTTCAGGATTTGAGACGTTGGTTTGTTTTGTGTTTTCCCGTTACTGTGAACGCTCTCAGTCTTCACAGCTTTCTCTATCTTCTCCATCTTCACCTCCTTCTCCACCTTCACCTCCTTCTCCACCTTCACCTGAGGGGAAACAGAACCGTTAGTCCATCAAGATGTCTGCGATAATTAACATCAACATAGTGCTGTGAGTTTCATACCTTCTTGGCACTGGGAGCGTCGTATCCCGGGGTGCGAGGCTCAGATTTGATCACCTTTGGTTTGGGGGTCCTGGGGTCTGAGAGAGAGAGAGCATGTGATCAATGAGATATCACAAGATTTAGAACTGACATCTGTACATAGGTCGTTCTTCTGTTGTGTGTTTAACGCCGAGTCAGCACATTTCTTCCTGTCCAATTAAAGTGTTTCGTACAGGTTTTGTGGAAATAAACGTGAAGTGCATTCAACATTTGATTTGATGACTTCATTCACGATATTTTTCAACCGACTTTACTGTGACTTTTCCCTTTTGCAACATACTATACTTGTTGTAGAGGAAACTTCTGTGTAGCAACGCAGTGGGAGTCACCGACTCAGGAAGGAGACACGGGAAGAGCAGTAGCTTTGATGTCAAACACATGATGGTTTATTTGGAGTTAACGGCCGGAGGATTCACATCACAAGTCCAAGAGTCAGAGGTTCTGACTTCACGGTAGAGTTGCCACGTCAATTCTGAAGAACTCTACCCCAGACCCGTGTATTTAGCTAGTTCAGAGAGCATCTTCAACATGCTGCATAACAAGATAGAACCATAACACCTCTATCAGCTGACGCCAACAGGCAGGAACAGGGAGACAGAGCACTGAGAGCACAGCAGCCAAGGTTACAGGTGCCTGTGCTCAGTCAGGACAGTTTGAACTGATACACTGGGTCAAAGTTATGGGCCTTGGAAAATATTCCACAACACTTGATATTTTACAAACATTTGTAGACATACTATACAACTTGGTGGCCTTCTTGTTTTTACCTACTTTACTTTTCCCTTTTGCAACATACTATACTTTGACATTTTACTACTTGTACTTGTAATACTATGATATCTTTTTGACAAACACTATTTTGGACATACTGTACTATGACTTCTAAACATTTTTCAACAAATAAGACTTTTCATATTTTGCAACATACTATGACATTTTACAAAACATTTTTTGACATACTATACTTCTTGTACTTGTACTTCTATATACTTGTTATCTTTTGACAAACTTTGACTTTTTATATTATTTTGGACTTATCTATGACTTGTTTTAACTACTTTCATATTTTTCAACAAACTATGACTTTTGGTGGGTGGAGTGCAGTGATGGGGTCGTTACTCAAAAAAAGTAATCACTACACATAACTCATTACTTCAAATAAAAGTAATATATTACATTACTTCTTACTCTCTACATAAAGTAACTTACATTACTTTTGCATTACTCAGCAACAGCCTGTAGGCCGACATGTGCACACATAATAACTATTGCAATAAGGAAGACATAACAAGTCTTTCTTTTATGCTCTTGAATACAATAGGCTACCACAAGCTAACAGTCGGTTTTAGCTTGTTGGTGATTACTGAATGTATTACAGTTACACCCGACACTGGTGGTGTGTGCACTCACTGGTCTTCTTGGGTGGAGGGGCTCCATGTGAGGATGAGGAGGGGGAGCTTCCTCCGCTGTCTCCTGAGGATCTCTTCCCGTCGTTAGCCGAGGGTCCGGCCGTCACCATAAAGTCACAATTCTCCTTCGAGATGCGGAACAGCTCCTGAAGAGAGAAGAAACACGAGCTTCAGACAGGAGGAACACAACATACTCCATTACAGGTAAAAGTCCGGCATTTAAAAGTACAGAATCAGCTAAATGTACTTAAATAATCAGAAGTACTCGTTCTGAAGAGATAGGACTTAGTTTTTGATGGACTATTATATAAATGACTAGTGTTTTACAGCACGTGCACTCCGCTCTGCATCAGCCAAACGACTCGCTGCACCCGCACTGCGAGGGGGACCCAAGTTCCCATCAGCAAAAACACGTGGGTTTGCTATCCTGGCTCCAAGATGGTGGAATGAGCTCCCCATTGACATCAGGACAGCAGATAGCTTACACACCTTCCGGCGCAGACTGAAAACTCATCTCTTTCGACTCCACTTCGAGCGATAGAATTATTAACGAAGCACTTTTATACTAATAAAGGACTGGCTTATCTAAAGCCAGTTGAGTAGCACTTGAAATGTTTGGCTCTATGAAACCTGATGTACTTATATGATTCTGTTTTCTTCAAGGTTGTATCTTGTTGGTCGAACGCACTTACTGTAAGTCGCTGTGGATAAAAGCGTCAGCTAAATGTAATAAAGTAGAGAAACAAAGTCTGACACACAAATTGACGGAATGACTCTTGACTCGTCATGTATTGGATAAGTTTGCCTTTTTTTACCTCAGTTATGCAATTTTAATAAAAGTTGATCAGGTTTACTTCCGTGTCTTTAGCAGCATTTTAAAACGGCATTTCATACGAGTTAGAAATATAACAACATGAACACAAACAGTTCATATAAACAAGCTAAATATCGATCTATGGATACACAGAATATACGGAATAAGTTTGAATCCACTGTAAAACACAAACTTACTGAGTGAGCAGTATATGATCAGGTATGTATAATATATACCATGATTAAATAATAGTACAACATATATTACAAAATAGACTTTTACTATAATTAAAAACATTTTTCGTTAAATTCCACATAACTATCACTTCCTGCTCTCTGACCTATATGTATTACCACCAGGCATCCACAGTGTACATAATGAAAGGCAGATATCCCACCCTGAGCTGCTCTAAGTTGGTGGCGGTCTTCCAGTCCTTGTCGTCTCGGACGCGCGTCATGCGGGGGAATCGGATGGAGATGCCGTCAGCCGTGTGCATTTCTGATTTGGAAAACTCTGCGCCGGTGATCTCCCAGACCGGAGCTTTCTGCAGCGGAGGACACAGAAATATACGGAGTAATATAACCAGGAAATGAAAGAAAGCAATTCCGACTGTCTGTACTGTCTGGGGTACAGGACTATTACTGTTAAAGAAAGGAAGCCTGGAGAATTCATCACTATTTCAATCAAATGTTTTCAACCTCAGAAGCTAAAGGGTTTTAAGGTTCTACGCTTTGTTGCTTATAATCTCTAAGCAATTTAGAGTCCTTTATCTGAAGAAAGAGATATGCAAGAGATGCTCATGGCTTCATTATACTATAGTTCATTTGGGAAATACTACATGTGCTTAAAAGTGGAATCTCACCTGAGGATCCCGGATAATGAAATCTGGATAATAGTTCTTGATGACTTTTATCCAGCCGGGGATTTTGCTGGGTTCCTGCACAAAGACACAAAGACAGACACACACACACACACACACACACACACACACACACACACACACACACACACACACACACACACACACACACACACACACACACACACACACACACACACACCTAATCAGTGGCCTGGAAATACAAATAATTGGATTCGAGAAAAACATTTCTAATAAAATCCAGTTCATTAAATTTGCTGACATTTAAAATAAGCTTTGGTTTAGAGATTGATCTCGTGTTTAAAATGAATATTTCTGTTTTTAATCTGCCCAGTTTATTTGTAAGATATTCGTAAATAGGGCAGTAAGTAGTCGAATGCATCTTTCTTGTCTTCAAAGGTTTTTCACCTAAAAGACAGCAACTAAATGGAAGTTTGTTTCAAGTAAAACTGCTGAAATAAAAGACTGAAGAAGTAACTGTGTCATTGGAGTGGAATCCTGTTCAAAGTCCAGTAGATGTTTCAAGTCCCTTTCAAGTGGGGACAAATCAGAGAAGACTTGACGGTTACTGCCTGGCTCAGTGTGGCCGGCAGGTGGATTTGTGCTGACCTTGCTGATTTTGATCATGTCCAGCTCCTTCTGGAGTCGAGCCAACATGGCGTCGTCGAAGCCGCCGGAGCACTTAGTGACGGTGCACCACTTCTTAGAGTGAGGGTCGTAACATCCCAGCAGGAAACTGGACATGATGCCCCCTGGTGGGAGAACACACACATTGCATTAGGAGGGACATTAGGGGAAGAGTTACCTGAGGATATATAGATACTACTACACTTTATAATTTCACTTAAAGGTCCCCTATTATACTGTTTTCATCAATATATCACAGGTCTCAGATATATACAGAACATGTCTCTGATTGGCTGAAACACCAAACAGATCATTGCAGCATTACCCATAATCCCCTCTGTTTCAGCCCTGTTTCAAAAGTGCTGATTCTCTGGCCGTTTCTCAATCGCGAGGATTTTGGAGTGCCGCCGAAGGACTGTTCCAATCTCCAGCATACTTGGAATTCCACCGAGGCCGCGTCCTTGGTTTGGGGGAAACTTTGAGGCTGCACATGGGTAGACTTCGCGTCCTTAAAATCCCCACAATGCTTTGCGCACGGACCAATTTCAAAAACCCTTGCGGAGAATGG